CTCTGAGTGTGTCAGCCGCTCTGAGTGTGTCAACCGCTCTGAGTGTGTCAGCTGCTCTGAGTGTGTCAGCCGCTCTGAGTATTTCATCTGCTCTGAGTGTGTCAGCTGCTCTGAGTGTGTCAGCAGCTCTGAGCGTGTCAGCTGCTCTGAGTGTGTCAGCTGCTCTGAGTGTGTCAGCTGCTCTGAGTGTGTCAGCTGCTCTGAGTGTGTCAGCCGCTCTGAGTGTGTCAGCCACTCTGAGTGTGTCAGCTGCTCTGAGTGTGTCAGCCGCTCTGAGTGTGTCAGCCGCTCTGAGTGTGTCAGCTGCTCTGAGTGTGTCAGCCGCTCTGAGTGTGTCAGCCGCTCTGAGTGTGTCAGCTGCTCTGAGTGTGTCAGCTGCTCTGTGTCAGCTGCTCTGAGTGTGTCAGCCGCTCTGTGTCAGCTGCTCTGAGTGTGTCAGCTGCTCTGAGTGTTTCAGCCGCTCTGAGTGTGTCAGCCGCTCTGAGTATTTCAGCTGCTCTGAGTGTGTCAGCTGCTCTGAGTGTGTCAGCCGCTCTGAGTGTGTCAGCTGCTCTGAGTGTGTCAGCTGCTCTGAGTGTGTCAGCCGCTCTGAGTGTGTCAGCCGCTCTGAGAGTGTCAGCTGCTCTGAGTGTGTCAGCCGCTCTGAGTGTGTCAGCCGCTCTGAGTGTCAGCCGCTCTGAGTGTGTCAGCTGCTCTGAGTGTGTCAGTTGCTCTGAGTGTGTCAGCCGCTCTGAGTGTGTCAGCCGCTCTGAGTGTGTCGGCTGCTCTGAGCGTGTCAGCCGCTCTGAGTGTGTCAGCTGCTCTGAGTGTGTCAGCTGCTCTGAGTGTGTCAGCTGCTCTGAGTGTGTCAGCTGCTCTGAGTGTGTCAGCCGCTCTGAGTGTGTCAGCTGCTCTGAGTGTGTCAGCCGCTCTGAGTGTGTCAGCTGCTCTGAGTATGTCAGCTGCTCTGAGTGTGTCAGCTGCTCTGAGTGTGTCAGCCGCTCTGTGTCAGCTGCTCTGAGTGTGTCAGCCGCTCTGAGTGTGTCAGCCGCTCTGAGTGTGTCAACCGCTCTGAGTGTGTCAGCTGCTCTGAGTGTGTCAGCCGCTCTGAGTGTGTCAGCCGCTCTGAGTGTGTCAGCCGCTTTGAGTGTGTCAGCCGCTCTGAGTGTGTCAGCTGCTCTGAGTGTGTCAGCTGCTCTGAGTGTGTCAGCTGCTCTGAGTGTGTCAGCCGCTCTGAGTGTGTCAGCCGCTCTGAGTGTGTCAGCCGCTCTGAGTGTGTCAGCCGCTCTGAGTGTGTCAGCCGCTCTGAGTGTGTCAGCCGCTCTGAGTGTGTCAGCCGCTCTGAGTGTGTCAGCCGCTTTGAGTGTGTGAGCCGCTCTTAGTGTGTGAGCCGCTCTGAGTGTGTCAGCCGCTCTGAGTGTGTCAGCCACTCTGAGTGTGTCAGCTGCTCTGAGTGTGTCAGCCGCTCTGAGTGTGTCAGCCGCTCTGAGTGTGTCAACCGCTCTGAGTGTGTCAGCTGCTCTGAGTGTGTCAGCCGCTCTGAGTATTTCATCTGCTCTGAGTGTGTCAGCTGCTCTGAGTGTGTCAGCAGCTCTGAGCGTGTCAGCTGCTCTGAGTGTGTCAGCTGCTCTGAGTGTGTCAGCTGCTCTGAGTGTGTCAGCTGCTCTGAGTGTGTCAGCCGCTCTGAGTGTGTCAGCCACTCTGAGTGTGTCAGCTGCTCTGAGTGTGTCAGCCGCTCTGAGTGTGTCAGCCGCTCTGAGTGTGTCAGCTGCTCTGAGTGTGTCAGCCGCTCTGAGTGTGTCAGCCGCTCTGAGTGTGTCAGCTGCTCTGAGTGTGTCAGCTGCTCTGTGTCAGCTGCTCTGAGTGTGTCAGCCGCTCTGTGTCAGCTGCTCTGAGTGTGTCAGCTGCTCTGAGTGTTTCAGCCGCTCTGAGTGTGTCAGCCGCTCTGAGTATTTCAGCTGCTCTGAGTGTGTCAGCTGCTCTGAGTGTGTCAGCCGCTCTGAGTGTGTCAGCTGCTCTGAGTGTGTCAGCTGCTCTGAGTGTGTCAGCCGCTCTGAGTGTGTCAGCCGCTCTGAGAGTGTCAGCTGCTCTGAGTGTGTCAGCCGCTCTGAGTGTGTCAGCCGCTCTGAGTGTCAGCCGCTCTGAGTGTGTCAGCTGCTCTGAGTGTGTCAGTTGCTCTGAGTGTGTCAGCCGCTCTGAGTGTGTCAGCCGCTCTGAGTGTGTCGGCTGCTCTGAGCGTGTCAGCTGCTCTGAGTGTGTCAGCTGCTCTGTGTCAGCTGCTCTGAGTGTGTCAGCCGCTCTGTGTCAGCTGCTCTGAGTGTGTCAGCCGCTCTGAGTGTGTCAGCTGCTCTGAGTGTGTCAGCTGCTCTGAGTGTGTCAGCCGCTCTGAGTGTGTCAGCTACTCTGAGTGTGTCAGCCGCTCTGAGTATTTCATCTGCTCTGAGTGTGTCAGCTGCTCTGAGTGTGTCAGCAGCTCTGAGTATGTCAGCTGCTCTGAGTGTGTCAGCTGCTCTGAGTATGTCAGCCGCTCTGAGTGTGTCAGCCGCTCTGAGTGTGTCAACCGCTCTGAGTGTGTCAGCTGCTCTGAGTGTGTCAGCCGCTCTGAGTGTGTCAGCCGCTCTGAGTGTGTCAGCCGCTTTGAGTGTGTCAGCCGCTCTGAGTGTGTCAGCTGCTCTGAGTGTGTCAGCTGCTCTGAGTGTGTCAGCTGCTCTGAGTGTGTCAGCCGCTCTGAGTGTGTCAGCTGCTCTGAGTGTGTCAGCTGCTCTGAGTGTGTCAGCCGCTCTGAGTGTGTCAGCCGCTCTGAGAGTGTCAGCTGCTCTGAGTGTGTCAGCCGCTCTGAGTGTGTCAGCCGCTCTGAGTGTGTCAGCCGCTCTGAGTGTCAGCCGCTCTGAGTGTGTCAGCCGCTCTGAGTGTGTCAGCTGCTCTGAGTGTATCAGCTGCTCTGAGTGTGTCAGCCGCTCTGAGTGTGTCAGCTGCTCTGAGTGTGTCAGCTGCTCTGAGTGTGTCAGCCGCTCTGAGTGTGTCAGCCGCTCTGAGAGTGTCAGCTGCTCTGAGTGTGTCAGCCGCTCTGAGTGTGTCAGCCGCTCTGAGTGTGTCAGCCGCTCTGAGTGTGTCAGCCGCTCTGAGTGTGTCAGCCGCTCTGAGTGTGTCAGCTGCTCTGAGTATGTCAGCTGCTCTGAGTGTGTCAGCCGCTCTGAGTGTGTCAGCCGCTTTGAGTGTGTCAGCCGCTCTGAGTGTGTGAGCCGCTCTGAGTGTGTCAGCCACTCTGAGTGTGTCAGCTGCTCTGAGTGTACCTTCCTATTTGTGGTTGCAAGAATCGATTCATAGCTCCTGGCCCCGCCTCTTTGCTGGTTGCTACTAGGTGTTAGCCGCTCTGATGCTTTGATCCCATTGAAGGTTCCTGATCCAAGGAACGAGAGCCAAGCTCCTTTCCCCCTCGATCAAACTTAATACCTCCCATTTCCCAGACGCTATTTGACCCATATGGGTTTAGCACTTATCCGTGAAAGCAATAACCATAAAAATAATCTCGGGATGGTTGTGGGAGTGAGTGGGCGAGTGTGACAGTGAGTGAGTGTGAAAGTGAGTGGGTGAGTGTGAGAGCGAGTTATCTGGAGTCGTTTCCTGAGGTCACCATCCCAGCCACCCGGTCCCATACCAGGCCTCCTGGTTACTGGCCTGCGCGACCAAACTGTTGGTGCCAGCCACCCGCAGTCCAACGTACGCACCACAACCCGGCTGATAAGGAACTGACTGGTCAGTAACATGACTGGCTTGGGCCAGTAGGACTGATGCATTGCTTCTTCCTTCTTAAGTGGATGTGACTTGGACCTAACTTGCTTAAGCCAGTAGGTACCTTGGACCTACCCGGCATGGGCCAGTAGGCTTGCTACAGTGCATCTTCGTTCTTATGTTCTTATGAACCTGTCGGGTTTCCTGTTGAGTGACAGGGAATGGGTGAGTAGGAATAAATGGGCGCGAGGAAGTGTCAGCAATAATCAGTCCTTACCTGTAGCTGCGTGGCTGACACACTGTGGATGACACTGCTCACCCACCTGTAGCAGTGTGGATGACATTGTGAGGCAGGTGCTGCTCACCCACCTGTAGCAGTGTGGATGACATTGTGAGGCAGGTGCTGCTCACCCACCTGCAGCAGTGTGGATGACACTGTGTGGCAGGTGCTGCTCACCCACCTGCAGCAGTGTGGATGACACTGTGTGGCAGGTGCTGCTTACCTACCTGCAGCAGTGTGGATGACACTGTGTGGCAGGTGCTGCTCACCCACCTGTAGCAGTGTGGATGACACTGTGTGGCAGGTGCTGCTCACCCACCTGCAGCAGTGTGGATGACACTGTGTGGCAGGTGCTGCTTACCTACCTGCAGCAGTGTGGATGACACTGTGTGGCAGGTGCTGCTTACCTACCTGCAGCAGTGTGGATGACACTGTGTGGCAGGTGCTGCTCACCCACCTGCAGCAGTGTGGATGACACTGTGTGGCAGGTGCTGCTCACCCACCTGTAGCAGTGTGGATGACACTGTGTGGCAGGTGCTGCTCACCCACCTGCAGCAGTGTGGATGACACTGTGTGGCAGGTGCTGCTCACCCACCTGTAGCAGTGTGGATGACACTGTGTGGCAGGTGCTGCTCACCCACCTGCAGCAGTGTGGATGACACTGTGTGGCAGGTGCTGCTTACCTACCTGCAGCAGTGTGGATGACACTGTGTGGCAGGTGCTGCTTACCTACCTGCAGCAGTGTGGATGACACTGTGTGGCAGGTGCTGCTCACCCACCTGCAGCAGTGTGGATGACACTGTGTGGCAGGTGCTGCTTACCTACCTGCAGCAGTGTGGATGACACTGTGTGGCAGGTGCTGCTCACCCACCTGCAGCAGTGTGGATGACACTGTGTGGCAGGTGCTGCTCACCCACCTGTAGCAGTGTGGATGACACTGTGTGGCAGGTGCTGCTCACCCACCTGCAGCAGTGTGGATGACACTGTGTGGCAGGTGCTGCTTACCTACCTGCAGCAGTGTGGATGACACTGTGTGGCAGGTGCTGCTCACCCACCTGCAGCAGTGTGGATGACACTGTGACGGGAGCTTCCCCACTCACTAATATTTATACAGTTTTCCTGCCGCGTTGACTGTGCTAGTTTAGGGAAGGAGCGGCAGATGGAGAGGTACCAGCTGACAACGTTGCTCTGCAGACATCACTTAATAAAAGTCATAAGTCACGGTCCCATGGCTGAAACAATTCAAAGCTAACCCACAAATTAAAAAAAAAGAAATCTGGACGATGTTTCGGTCCAATTTAGACCATTATAAAGTTTTCTCACAAATTGTTAATGGTTCATGGCAGAGCGAAACATTGTTCAGTTCTACTTTTAGTTATAAATACTTAACTTAGTTACCTCTCAGTGACAAATAATATAATTACTAATGTTGTGCAAACAGTTGGTTTTTTTTCTGTTTTAATTTCACGTAATCAAGCAAGGCGCCATTAGTACACTAAGAGAAAACACAACAAGTGTCCGGGGCCCAAGACTGTTTAACAGCTTCCCACCAAGCATAAGGTAAATTACCAATAGACCCCTGGTTGTCTTCCAGAGGGAGCTGGACAGATACCTAAAGTCAGTACTCGATCAACCGGGCTGTGGTTCGTACGTTGGACTATGTGCGACCAGCAATAACAACCTGGTTGATCAGACCCTGATCCACCGGGAGGCCTGGTCAAGGACTCGGCTGCGGGGGCGTTGACCCCCGGAACACCCTCCAGGTAGACTCCAGGAACACGTGATTCTGCGCAAGTCGAGACTTGCACAGATCCTTGAGGAACTCCGATCGTCACAGTTGTCTACGCACATACTTTCTTCTGAACCAACACTTTGTATTATATGTCCTAGAGTTTGCTCACGTGTCTTTGTAAACCAGTTTTTTCGCTAAATATTACCAAGGTTTATACCATAAAATAACTTCTCTCCAGATGTTCATCTCTTCAATATATTCATCATTACTTTTGTATTTATGTCAAGATTACCAAGCTATAGTTTAACACTGTTTTTTTTCTGTTTGTCCCCTCGCATGAATACTGTGGCCGAATTAACTGTTTGCCATTGTTCTGCCAGTCGTCGTTTCCACTGACGTGTAGGTTTTTGCTAGCATTTCACACATTACCTCCGTTCCTCCCAGAACCCGTGGTGACACACTGTCAGGTCCCATTGTCACTGATACATGATCGTCTTGTATTGTCCCTGATTCCAGAGAGCACATTGAATCATCACTTGCCTTGGGTACAAAACATCACCCGTTCCGTGGTTTGTTTATAATCGGGTTATTACGATTTCGTGAGTCATCTATGGGATTTCTAGTAACATCTTTGTGATCTCTTCTTGTTTTAGTCTTATATTTTATGTTTTACTGTCGTCTTCCTTCTGGTGTGACTGTAACAGTTTCCGTTCTTGATTCAGGTTTTGCATCTGTGTCTTCTTCCCATTGCTTATCTTCCTTCTGAAGTGCTCCTTTCTATGTTTACTTCCACCAAATCAAAGAACGGGTGGGACTCGAACCTATGGCAGGCGAGTCCTAAAACTCGCAGAGCAGCTTGCTAACCACTGGTCCATGTCAGGGTAAGAAGATTCATCCAACTAAGTATATCTCTATACACCATACTAATGTTAACATGGGCGCCACGACTTTGTTGTTTCTATCATCAGTAACCTCGTGTACTCTGTTTCCTTTATGTCGGATGTGACTGAAGTAAAAACTAGGTAGAGTCTTGCAGGTTCGTCGTCCTCCTCCTCCACTCACTACTGTCGTGTTCACAACACTGTGGCACAAACTTTTACATCACGGTCTCTATCGTCCCAGTCCTTTATGTATCTACCTGGAGGGTATTCTGGGGATAAACGTCCCCGCGGCCCGGTCCATGACCAAGCCTCCCGGTGGATCACGGCCTGATCAACGAGGCTGTTACTGCTGGCCGCACGTAGTCCAACGTACGAACCACAGCCCGGCCGATCCGGTAGTGACTTTAGGTATCTGTCCAGCTACCTCTTCTAGACAACCAGAGATCTATTGGTAATTCCCCTTATGGCTGATGGGAGGCTGTTGAACAATCTTGGGCCCCGGACACTTATTGTAATTTCTCTTAGTATATTAATGGCGCCCCTACTTTTCACTGGGGGTATGTTACATGGCCTTCCAAGTCTTTTGCTTTCGTAGGGAGTGATCTCTGTGTGTAAATTAGGAACAAGTCCCTCCAGGATCTTCCAGGTGTAGACTATGATGTATCTCTCTCGCCTGCGCTCCAATGAGTACAAGTCAAGTGCTTCCAAGCGTTCCCAGTAGTTAAGGTTTTTTGATGGAACTTATATGTGCAGTAAAGGTTCACTGTACATTCTCTAGATCAGCAATTTCACCTGCCTTGAATGGGAATGTTAATGTACGGCAGAATACCAGCCTAGAGAGAACAAGTAATTTAATAAGGATCATCAATGGCTTGGCATATCTTGTCTTAAGTGTTCTCATTATCCATCCTATCAGTTTCCTAGGTGTTTGGTTATTATTATTATTATTATTATTATTATTATTATTATTATTATTATTATTAGTAGTAGTAGTAGTAGTAGTAGTAGTATTAGTAGTAGTAGTAGTAGTAGTAGTAGTAGTATGGGGAGCACTAAACCCGTAGGGATTATACAGCCTGTGGGGGGATGGGAGGCATTCAGACCCAATTCGGGGAACTGGAGAACAGATCCAATACCCTAGATCAGAGCTCCTCACCAGTATGGTGAGGAGCTCTGATCTTTGGTTAACTGTGTAGCTCCAAATAGTTCCAATTTTGCTTCATGGTTAAAGTCCTGATTAGTAATTTGCTTTTTGTAAGGAAGTAACTAAAAGTAGTTAGGGGTACAGTTTGGACCCTTAGGCGGGTGGGATGATGCGCTCAGAGTATATGAATGGATGTTGCGACAGTATTGAATGAAGATGGTGATTTTTTCTCTTTTTTATTGGGGGGGGGGGTGCTCTACCTTGGGGGGGGACGCCGGTACTTTAAAAAAAAAAGGTTTTTGGGTTTTGGGGGTTTTTGGGGGGGGTGGGTTGTTTTGGGGGGGGGGTTTTGGGGGGTTTTGGGGGGTTTGTTTTTTTTAAAGGGGTTTAAAAAAATAAATAAAAAACTTTTAATTATCTCCTCCTAAAACCCACCCTACCCAACCTCACCTTAAACCCATTTTTTAACCCCCCACCACACCCCCCCCCCCCACCACCCCCCCACCCCCCCCACCCCCCACCCCCCCCCCCCACCCCCCCCCCCCCACCCCCCCCCCCCCCCCCCCCCCCCCACCCCCCCCCCCCCCCCACCACCACCCCACCACCAACCCCACCACCACCACACCACCCCACCACCACCCCACCCCCCCACCCCAACACCCCCCCCCCCCACCCCCCCCCACCCCCCCCACCCCCACCCCCCACCACCCCCACCACCCCCAAACCCCCACCCCCAAAACCCCACCCACCCCCACCACCACCACCACCACCACCACCACCACCCCACCACCACCACCCCCACCCCCACCCCAACCACCACCCCAACCCCCACCACCCCCCACCCCCACCACCACCACCCCCCACCCCCCAAACACCACCCACCCCACCACCCACCAACCACCCCACCACCACCCACTCACCACCACCCCCACCACCACCACCCATCACCACCCCCACCACCCCCACACCACACCCCCACCCCCCCACCACCACCACCACCCCCACCACCCCCACCACCACCACCACCACCACACCCCACCACCACCCCCACCACCCCCCCCCACCCCCCCCCCACCCCCCCCACCCCCCTCACCACCACACCACCCCCCCCCACCCACTCCCCAAACCACACCACCACCACCACCACCACCCCCCCCCCCACCCCCCACCCCACCACCCCACCACCACCCCCCACCCCCACATAAACCCCCCCCACCCCACACACTCACCAACCCACCACCCCACCACCACCCCACCACCCCCAACACCACCAACCACTCACCACCCCCACCCCCACCACCCCACCACACTCCCCCACCCCCCATCACCACCACCCCCCCCCACCCCACCCATACCCCCACCACCCCACCACCACACCACCCCCACCTCATCCCCACCACCACCCCAACCCCAACCCCCAACACACCACCACCCACCCCACCACCCCCATCCCCCCACCACCCCCACCACCTCACTCCCCCCACCACCACCCCCACCAACTCACCAACACCCCCACCCCCCCCACCACCCCCACCACCACCCCCCACCCCCCACCACATCCCCCACCCCCCACACCACACTCACCCCCACCACCACCACCCCACACCCCCACCACCACCACCACCACCACCACCACCCCCACCCATCACCATCACCACCCCCCCCACCACCACACTCCCCCACCACCACCCCCACCCCCACCCCCCACCACCACCACCACCACCACCACCACCACCACCACCACCACCACTCATCGACACTTATTCTGATATCTCTCAGTTCAGGGTAACACATTTCATGACCTAATGCACAAAATTCACTCTGTGATGGTATAATAGGGAAACACAGCTAGTTTATTTCGCCACAATGTAACAGCCTAGAGAGTAAGGTAGCACCACACTGCTTATGAACCAATTTTGTTTAATAAAAAATAAGTTTACATGAGGCCTTATTTAACGGCGGCCTGTTTGGCGATTTATAGCCTTCCCCTCCATCATGTAACCACTGGGCACAGGTCATAAGCCATGCCTAATTCATGTACCAGTCTGAGTGCCAAAAGAGCCATGCCGCCTTCTAGGGTAGGCTGGGGTGGCAAGTAGGCCTAGGGCGATCCGCGGCTCCATACCTTTGTTGGTGTCTAATAAAACGACACCGCAAGTTGAACTGTCTGTCCACCGTTCCCATACCCAGGGTCTATGGCACCTGCCAGGGTACCTCTACCATCTTCCGGCCATCTCTCCAGACCCACACCGTCTGGGGACCCACAGACCGAAGGGTCTTATCAGAGAAGACAATAAACGAACTTCAGGAAGGTTTATTCCTGGTGCTGTTCAAGTGTTTCTTCCTCTACCACCCCATATATCCCTCTAGAAGATATATATATATTATATATATATATATATATATATATATATATATATATAATATATATATATATATATATATATATATATATATATCAACAAACCGGCCGTATCCTACCAAGGCAGGGTCAAGGTACCTCTTGGAAGGCAGGGTCAAAGCACCTCTTGGA